TCCCCACAAACCATGCGACATGGCCAAAAAAACCAAAAAAAAAAAAAAAAAGAAAGAAAGAAAGAAAGAAAGAAAGAAAAGAAAAGAAAAGAAAAGAAAAGAAAAGCAAGCATGAAAGACATACCAGGAAGGGTACGAAGTTGTCCCCTCTGGCAGGAGCTTAGGATAAATAAAAAGTTAGAGTTGGAGATAAAAAAAAACGTTAATGGTGTTTAGGGTAGAACTGGGAGAGCATCAGCATATCTATAAAGTAGGGAGCCAATGAAGGTTTTGGAAAGATAAGTGGCATGCCTAATGCTGGTTCTTGGATGGCAAATCTAACACCATTGCAGAGGATGAGTTGGAGAGGAGAGAGATAGGAGTTAGGAGATTGTTACACGAGTACGGGTGAGAAAGGAGGCTATTGGTGAGGGTGGGATGGGAGAGTGAGGAAGATATGGCATGTAGTGGCCACAGATGTTGATCAATGATTGGCCTGGGAGGTGAAAAGAGAAAGAAACCAAGGATGAGCCGCAGATCTTGAACCTAGCTGCCTGATGGAACACAGGAGCCATGCCCTCCACAGAACTAGGGGAAAAGAAGATTCTGGCCTTGGCAAGGAATGATGACTTGGGTTCACCCCTCTGAGAGTTAGTCCTGCCCTTTCCACATTCTTTTATGAAACTGCAAATAGAGGGAATTACTTTTTCAGGTCTTTCTTTATTTACAGGGGGAGGTCTCTATGAAAATCATAAGGCTCTGGGACTCCTGAGTAGAGAGGAAAGAGTAACAAAAGCAGAGGCAGAGATGGGAATAAATCTTCTCTTCCTCCTTCAGGCTCCTCTGACAAGCTTGTCTCCTGCTCATGGGAAGGAAAAAGGCTGACAGGAGGAACTTGTCCACTAGAATGTAACTGCTAGGAGGGCAGGGAATTTTTCTTTTCTGTCTTGTTCAGTGATGTATCTCTACATCTACTGCTCTCTCTGCCTAGAGCAGTCCCGGCAATAGTGGGAGCTCAATAATGTTTGTTGAATGAATGGATGATCCCCGTTTCTAGGCTTATGAAGAAATAAAGACTAGGTCTCTCATAGCTCACTCAGGCTTCCCCTCCCAACCTCAGTCATCTACTCTGTTCATTCTTTTCATCTTTTTTTTTTTTTTCCATCGTTGTCCAAATACACCTAGAAATAATTCTCAAAGAGTCCTGCTTTATAGTCTCACAATCTTGCCAAGCTCTCAGGAACTGACAATCGCAGGCAGGATAACAAAGGAAATGGCAGCTCTCCCAGGAGCAGGAAGCTGGATATTTATGTTGTGAAGCAAGCACGGTCCCTTGCTGGGGAAGAGGCTGGATTTGGGAGTGTGCAAGTGTCTGACTTCTTTTCTTGATTTTATTTTCTGTTTGTTGGTTCACTGCAAGGTTTTCATTGCTCGCCTCTTAGACTATGATTTGGAGACTGGAATGCTATCCAGAATATAATGTGAGTCTCTTTTGATGCTATGTGAGGATGCCTTACAACCAGTTTTCACAAATTTGAGGAGTAGATTCCTCTGTAGAGTCTCAAAAAGCATCATAAGGTCCAGGAGTTGGTCCGAGACAGAGGACATCAAGGTGAAATGTTTAAGTGGATAAGGAGTGGGAATTGAAAGGATGTTATTGAAAAGAGTAGTTTATGAGTCAGGTTGGTCTTGACATCAGAAGTTGTAACCCCAGGCCCACCCATCCGGACTCATAGTTAAATTGTATCTTATCTTCCTTTTCTACTTCCTGAGACTTAATCGTGGTTTCCTCAGTTTTATCAGCTACCTAAAACTTTTTAAGATAAAAGAATGTTTTATTTTTTGGAAGCTGCTACACAAGGGTTCAGACTGATTTCCAAACCTACAAGTTTAAACTAGGTAATGCTTGACATGAGCCACTCATCCCCCTCTTTTCAAATTATACTCTGGGGTCATTTATTACGTGCCTATTGCATGTCAGGCACAGCAGGAAAGTGAGAACAGAGATGAACAAGACTGTCTCTGCCTAAAGAAAAAAAAAAACACACACACACAGGGGCTTCCCTGGTGGCGCAGTGGTTGAGAGTCCGTCTGCCGATGCAAGGGACACGGGTTCGTGCCCCGTTCTGGGAAGATCCCACATGCCGCGGAGCGGCTGGGCCCGTGAGCCGCGGCCGCTGAGCCTGCACTCTAGAGTCCATGAGCCACAACTGAGCCCACGTGCCACAACTACTGAAGCCCATGCGCCTAGAGCCTGTGCTCTGCAACAAGAGAAGCCACCGCAGTGAGAAGCCACACGTCACAACGAAGAGTAGCCCCTGCTCACTGCAACTAGAGAAGGCCCACGCACAGTCAAAATAAATAAATAAATTTTAAAAATGTGTCAACCTCTCGTCCCTCCCTCTCAATGATCCTGAACTGAAAGATTTGTTACTTCAGCGCGACAGGTGGGGGTGGGAGGTGAGGAGCTCCATGGGACACAAGGAATCAGATCTTAATTCATCGTTTTGCCTGATGTAATAAATCTGAAAAGACAAAACAGCTTCAGAATGATCACAACAAAAGGTATTGTAAAATAAATTGAATGTGTAAATTTTTACACAATGTGAAATAAAGAATTGATCCAAATGAGCTAGAATTTATTAGAGAAGTGTCCCTGGAAGAAGTGGATTTTGAATCAATCCTGGAACAGGTGGAGAGAGATTGAAATTTCCCAATAAGGGAAGGACAAAATTCTTTTTGGTGTACAAGAGGCGAAGGAGGAAGAGGGCATGGAGACAGGAAGCAGTGAGTCATATATCGGGGAGGAGAGATAGAGGGTCCTGATGTGGGATACCATAGTCATTGTGGGGGGCTCTCCATATGGCAGAACAACTAACCTACGGTGCAGCAGACTCGGCTAGAAATCTGAGCACAGCAAGCATGACTCAAGACCGATTTAGATTCTCGGAAGAAAAACCAAGGAATGAAAATGTGCTCATGAGAGACAATCCACAAAAAGAGAAAAGACCAAATACCACAATGAAAAATCCCAAGGGCAGCATCGGGTATTCCATTCCAACCAAAGCATAAAATTTCAACTGTACTGCATTTCCCAGAGCTACTTCAGCCACTGGGCTCATCAACTCCAATTCCTCCTTTTGGTGGTCAAAAAATTGAAGCCACAGAGACTCATTAATGTAAAGAAACTTGAGGTCATCTGTCCGTATTTCCTGAGATGGTGCTAGACTTCGTGCCATTTCTCTACCTCAGGCACTCAAAACCCTTAAAAAGACAAAGAGCGTTATTGCCACAGAGGGCACACGTCTAGAAAAAGGGCTTTTAACAGCCAAAAGGAATTCCATCGCTTTCAAAGTAGTTTCACTACTACTTCAAAGTAGTAGTATATACTTAGTTCCAGCTGCTAGTACTCAGGCACACATCTTTTTATTATTTCTAAAATTTTTTTCTCCAGATATATGTATACGTATAGCTGATTCACTTTGCTGTACAGCAGAAACTAATAACGTGGTAAAGCAACTATATGCCAATAAAAATTTTAAAATAATAATAAGTTAATTTTTTTAATTAAATTAAAGATGCATTTTTTAATTTATTTGTTTTAATTTATTTATTTTTGGCCACGTTGGGTCTTCGTTGCCGTGCATGGGCTTTCTCTAGTTGCGGCGAGCAGGAGCTACTCTTCGTTGCAGTGCATGGGCTTCTCATTGCGGTGGCTTCTCTTGTTGCAGAGCACGGGCTCTAGGCACGTGGGCTTCAGTAGTTGTGGCATGCAGACTCAGTAGTTGTGGCTCGCAGGCTCTAGAGCACAAGCTCAGTAGTTGTGGCACACGGGCTTAGTTGCTCTGCGACATGTGGGATCTTCCTGGACCAGGGATCGAACATGTGTCCCCCGCATTGGCAGACGGATTGTTAACCACTGCTCCACCAGGGAAGTCCCCCCAAAAATAAAGTTGAATCTTTATCCTTTGAGGTAGATGATTATGAGAAACAGCCAAAAATCCTTCAGTTCTAGTTCTGGTGACTAAGGTATATGATCAGACTGGGGACAATACCATTTTTATTATAGTAAAATGAATAGGTTGACTTTCTCATGTGGTTTCTTTCTGAGCACTTTATAGAGAGCTGTTGTTTCTCACTCGGATGCTGCAGAGGGAATGGATGGCTTCTATGGTCCCTGCCATCAGGAAACTTACATTTTAAGGAAATACTTACACAAGTGGACATGCTTATACCTGCAAAAGTGAAATACTATGATGTGTGAGAAGAGAGTGAGCCATTAGTTTGGTTTGAGAAACAGGGAAAGTAGCATTTTAGCTGGCATTTTGGGGAATAGATAGAATCAATAAGCAAAACAAAGAAAGGAATAAAAAGAACATTCCAGAGTAAGAAAAAACAAAATCCCAGTGATGTGAAAGTGCAGGGTGAGTTCAAGATATAACAAATAGCTCTGTGGTTGGAGCAACAGGCGCTTGGGAGAATGGCAGTGGAGATGACACCAGATGATGAAGGGGCATAAACATCAGACTCAGGATTGCAGCAGACCCAGGAGAGCACTTCCAGGCGTATTCTGAACAACTCAGCTTTGTTAGAATAAATGGGTAGCTTCACTGAGATAAGTATTTTGAAGAATAACACTCTTTGGAACTCTCAAGGTCCAGGATTGCAGGAACACACATCAGTCTCCCTTGATAACCATATCTGATACTGGCATATCTCCGTAGAGGAAAATTACTCACCAATTAGGTAAGAAATCGGGCTTCAGAGCACCAAACAAATCATCAGCAGACCAGCAACAGAGGAGGAGTCAGTCCTGATGGGCAGTCTGTCATATGAGGTTACAGAGTATGAAGATAAACTCTTCCAGGAAGCCCTCTTGATAAAAATCTATTTCTGCCTCAGGGGAATTTGAGAGGTCTCTCATAGGGTCAGGAGTCACCAGGGATGAGGTGGCAGGGGTGGGGACGCATGGATCAAGCTTGGAAAGGAGCCCAGCCTGGTGAAGTGCTGAGGTCGAGAAATGGAAGATTGGAGGAAGAAGCCTCATGGACTCTCCAGCACCAAGACAGGACGGAAGTGATGGGAGTGTGAGAGGAAGACCACAGCCAGCTCAGCCTGCTGGTGCCCAAGAGGAACACGGAGGGCTCAGGATAGAGCAGCCATAGCAGCAGGATTCATTCTGAACGCCACCAGCTGGAGGTCCAAAGCTACCAAGGTAATTCCCTGTCCTGGTCAGAACTGGTCCTAGAACAGTGGCTCTCAAGCTTGGGATACACCACAGTGGTCTGGAGGGCTTGTCAAAACACAGATTGTTGATATTGTCAAAACACCCCAGAGTTTCTGATTCAGTAGGTCTGGATGGGCTGAAGAATTTGGCTTCCTAAGGACTTCCCAGGTAGTGCCAATGCTGCTGGGAACCACTGACCTGGAACTTGATGGGCCAGAGTGCTCAGGTAGCCTTCAGTATCTGAATCTAAGAGGAACTAGAGAGGGTAGGAGTTGATAATTTCCAGCCCGGGCTACTTGAAGGGGTTTTATATAATCAGGAGACTGATAAGCATCAAAAGACAACAATCAGGACAGTGGTGATGCAATAGAAAGAGGAGAGGAAGGGAAAGCTGTTTTAAAGGAAGGAGTTCAAGAAGGAATCTGGGGCTTCCCTGGTGGGGCAGTGGTTGGGAGTCTGCCTGCCGATGCAGGGGACATGGGTTCGTGCCCCGGTCTGGGAGAATCCCACATGCCTTGGAGCGGCTGGGCCTGTGAGTCATGGCAGCTCAGCCTGCACGTCCGGAGCCTGTGCTCCACAATGGGAGAGGCCACAACAGTGAGAGGCCCGCATACCGCAAAAAAAAAAAAAAAAAAAAGGAATCTGGCCCTTTGCCCAGAGTAACCACCTGCTGGAAGAGGAAGGAACTGAACCACTGGGTAACACTGCTGACCCACAGCTCTGCTATCACCTGGCTGCCTCTGGAATCATCTAGGAAGGTTTTCAAAAATACCAGGCCTTGGGCCCCGTGCCCGGCAGCCTAAATCAGAATCCCTGCAGGTGGGGCCCTGACCGTGGGAGCGAAAGAAAGCTCCCAGGTGATTCTCACATGCAATTAGGACTGAAAGACACTGGTCTAAGGAGAACCTGATTCTGTCTAAAGGAAGAAAAGAATATATAATCAGGGAATCTATGGAATGAGGAGTTCATCTCCAGTTAACTTAACCTTAGCAAGATTTCCACACTGACTGGTCCTCCCTTGGCTCTGTCCTTGTCAATCCCTCAGACTCCTTTTACTGCTGGTGACATTCCAGAATCTGAGCAGCATCTTTGCTCTGCTTCCCCCACGCCTTGCCAACTGTGAATCACCACTGTGGTCACAGCAGCCAAACATCCTAAGAACTGAAAACACAGAACCAGGCACTTTCTGGAGCTTTCTTTCTTCTTGTCTCTCAGAGGCCTGACACCAAGCGCAAGTTCAAATGGTTTTCTAGTCTCTGCACAGCCACAAGTCTATGAATCATTCATTTTATAACAAATCAAAAACGTAGGTTTAAGAGTTATGAAATGCCCTAGTGAAAAAGAAGATTTATAGATAAGCTAGTCAAATATTTTATGGATAGATAGTCTGGTTTAGTGAAATATAAGTGAAATTTCACATGAAAGTCCAATATATAAAATGGGTAAGAAGCACTACAGAACGGTGTGAGTGCTATGCTGCTATTTGTGTTAGTAAAAGGAAGGAGGCGGGGGACTTCCCTGGTGGTCCAGTGGTAAAGAATCCACCTGGCAATGCAGGGAACACGGGTTCGATCCCTGGTCCGGGAAGATCCCACATGCCGCGGAGCAACTAAGCTCCTGCGCCACAACTACTGAAGCCCGTGCGCCTAGAGCCCGTGTTCCGCAACAGGAGAAGCCACCGCAATGAGAAGCCCGCACACCGCAACGACTCGGAAGTCCCCAGTTGAATAAGGTGCTTGAACATCTCATCTTCCATAAAACACAGATTCAAGAGAAACGCTGGTAAGAGGGATCCTATAAATCCAAAGTAACTCATGGAGAAACCTTTGTGTTTAAATGTTAAATAACCTTTGTACTTACATGTTAATCACACCTATGAAAAAAATGTATAATCTCAGTTCCAAAGGCAAGGGCAATTTACATATTTTGTATTAGTTCATTTCATCAATAAATTGTTCTTTTTTTTGGCTAAAAAAAAACAAAAAAGAACTCCAACTTTTTTTATTTTTAAAATAAAAATATTTATTTATTTTATTTAATAAAAACTCCAATTTTATCTTGCACTTCTTTGTGTAAGTTAGGTGGGGTGGGAAGTGGTGGTGGTGAGGCAGCCTACCATCTTGATTGGAAGTCCTTTTGGTAAGAACCTTTTTTTTTTTAATAAGTTTATTTATTTTATTAATAAGTTTATTTATTTATTTTTTTAATTTATTTTATAATATTTTATTTATTTATTTTTGGCTGTGTTGTGTCTTCATTGCTGCGTGCGGGCTTTCTCTAGTTGCAGCGAGCAGGGGCTACTCTTCGTTGTGGTGCATGGGCTTCTCATTGCAGTGGCTTCTCTTGTGGTGGAGCACGGGCTCTAGGCACATGGGCTTCAGTAGTTGAGGCACGTGGGCTCAGTAGTTGTGGCTCACGGGCTCTAGAGCGCAGGTTCAGTAATTGTGGCGCACGGGCTTAGTTACCTCGCGGCATGTGGGATCTCCCCGGACCAGGGCTTGAACCCGTGTCTCCTGCATTGGCAGGCAGATTCTTAACCACTGCACCACCAGGGAAGTCCGAGCTTCCCTGGTCTGGAACTAATATCCTACATGCTGCGTGCTGTGGCCAATATAAAATTTAAAAAAGGTTTTTAAAAACTTAAAAAAAGAAAGGAGGTGAGACAATATGAGGTGGGTGTGGGTAACCTCTAGAAAGATAGACAGGAGATGGTGACCTTGGTTTCCTGCAAGGTGGGGGACTAGGGACACGGTAGTAAGAAGACTTTTCACTGCGTATGCTTTTGTACCTCTTGGATTTTTAATAATGTGCATGGATCACCTATTCAAAATTAATTTCTTAACAATTAATTTTTCATAGTAGAGCTGTTATGGTTGGAGCAGGCTGGACCTCACCTTGACCCCTCTTCCCCTCCCTCTAAACCCTCACCCCCAGACGAAGCCCCATCAGGACTTCTAATCCTATGAAGTTCATCAGAAGATGGGTGCCCCCCAACCATGGGATCCAGTTAGAGGACTGCTGAACATTTTCAACTCCACATTTTTTAGCCAGAATTGATTCCTAGAGAGGCCAAGTGACTGGCTCAAAGTCACACAACTAACAAATAAACCTAAATCTCCTCATTCTTTCTTCAATGTTTTTTCCATGAGTCCTGAAATATAATCCCTTCAACAGAGCAGATCAGACATTTGTTGAACTTCTATAGCTATGCCTAAGAGATACTATTCACACATGCACACATCAGTGGCAGAGAAAACTTATTGACCACATACCAAATAAATAAGCACAACCTCACTATCACAGTATTGATTATATGGCAATAAGCACCCTCACCATTAGTGAAAGTTCATGTTATTAAAGGATTATGTAGCTTATTTGGATATTTTTTAGTATGAGTCACAAGACAAACATTTGGAAGATGAAAGCACCATATATAGAAAGCAGCCCTGTTGCTTTTCATTGGTGCTGGCACAGCCCCACTGGCCACTAGGTGGCGTAGTGTCCTAACAACAGTAAAGCCGCAGGCCTAACGCTCTTAGAAAGTAAAACCGTGAATTAATATCCCACAAGTGACCCACCTGGCTACACACACAGCCCTGAGGCCCAGACGGAATTATTAGTACAAATTCCAAGTAATTCCTCTATCTTGGGCAGAATCTGGTCAGCAGCAGTGTGGTTTTGCCTAGAGCAGTGTTTAGTTTTGTTATTTTGTTTTAATCCAAAATGCCTTTAGGTGGAGCAGGCCCTCCCAGAACACCCACCACTCTCTAATGTCTTATTTTGGGCTTATCCACACACTTGCATGGTCCCTGAGGCATGAGGTTGGGATCCCTGCTGAAATGTCTTCCTTAAATACACAATGACTCCACAGTTACAATCGAAATGATCTCTCCAGTTATCTGGGGCTTTCCCACCTCCATTTATCTTTTCTCAAGTCATTCTTCCACAATGACTCCTCCATGGCATGTCCATTGTTTTGCAATCTTTCTCGTTCTCTTTTTTCTTTTTAATTTATTTATTTATTTATTTATTTTTGGCTGTGTTGGGTCTTCGTTGCTGCGTGCGGGCTTTCTCTAGTTGTGGCGAGTGGTGGCTACACTTCTTTGAGGTGCGTGGGCTTCTCATTGCGGTGGCTTCTCTTGTCACGGAGCACGGGCTCTAGGCGCACGGGCTTCAGTAGTTGTGGGGCACGGCCTTAGTTCCTCTGCTGCATGTGAGATCTTCCTGGACCAGGGATCGAACCTGCGGCCCCTGCATTGACAGGCAGATTCTCAACCACTGGGCCACCAGGGAAGTCCCTGCAATCCTTCTCATTCTTGAAGGCCCAGATTCAATGTCACCTTCCTCAATCATACCAGCCTGAAGTGCATTTTTCCCCTACTCTGACCTCCCAGGGCATACAGAGCGTGTACTACTTAGTTTGTGCTTCTTTTCTGCTCCATTCCATTAGCTGTCTTTCATATGTCTCAGCTATTTGTAAGTTCTCTGAGGGAAGCAAAGAGGTCTGCCACTTCATGTGTGTGTGCGTGTGTGTGTGTGTGTGTGTGTGTAATGGTATCCTGTACAGTGCCCTACCCTGCTTTTGATTTCTTCTAACTGAAAAGCTATGTGAACACCTCCTTAATGGGGACTAATAGGAGACACGGTGGTTTATAAAAAAGTCTTTTTTAGAATATCATGAAAGAAATAATTTATTGATGCAAGTGAAACCGTGCACCTCATATTGGGACTTGAACTCACACAGCTGGCACTCGAACCCGGCCTAAACCCACAGTCTTTCAACTGAGATCACACACTTGTTTTCAGGGCTTAATGAAGCTCAGGTTCTTGATGTCACATTGCAGAAAGAATTCAGTGAGACAAAGTGATAGGTAAGAAGTGGATTTACTTAGAAGCACACTCCACAGACAGAGTGTGGGCCATCTCAGAAGGTGAGAAAGGCACCAGGGTATGGGGTTGTCACTTTTTATAGGAGTGGGTAATTTCAT